TGCTGTTCTCCACATCCGCAATTTCTCTCAGTCTTGACATGACTTTACTTCCGGCTATGCCTTCTCTCCCGACCATGCCTTCTCTCCAGACATCGTCGATAAGTAGCAAAATTGTCTTCCCTTTGAACCACTCTGTGACCCTCGAAACCGCAGATTCTAGCACGCTTTCTTCACGCACCTCCTTCGCTTGCGTTTCCCCTCCGCTTTCTCTCGTGATGCGGGCCAGCTGTTCCATTACTCCTCGTTCTGTCGCGTCTTGACCGAGCACCAGCCAGTATATACCGTCGCAAAACCGGCTGCGAACCTCTTCATCCGAGGCCAGACCGCGTAGGGCGCAAGACTTTCCGATGCCTCCCATCCCCTTCGTCCCCACAACCCCTCCACGGCGCGCTCCAACAGCACCAACATTTTGACGGTCTCCCGGACGCAAAACACTCCGCCTCAATCGTTCTTCCGGAGCCGTCATACGTTCCGTACTGTTGCCAGCATCTTCACTGCGTCCAAACTTCAGTATGACATGGTCCGGGTTCTTTGGCACTTGAAACGAAGCCTTGAAGCCATCCTTCTTCGGGTCCTCCGCGGATGTAGTACGCATTTGATGACGAGCATCGCCAATGGCGTCGCTCCTCTTCGCCTCTTCCTCGAATGGGCCATGAACGCCTTCTGTCACTACATCCCTCGAGTGCTCCTCACATTTCTTTTTCACAGCCAGAAATACTCGCTCCACAAGTTGTTTTCTTGCAAGATGGCTGAATTCGTCTTCCAACCGGTTCGTTGCCTTTTCGTCATTTTCTATCCCGGTGATATCTGCCAGCTCTTGTAGCTCCCTCTTCACCATTTCCGTGCTCGCCTCGCGCTGTCGTTCCTCGCTAAAAAACTTCTCAACTTCAAAAATATTGTTTCCTTCATTATCCTGATGCTCACTGGGCTCCAACTTTCTACATTCCCGAATACTTAGTCTGTAAAACACCGGAATCAGTGTTGGTGGCTGCCTCCCACTCCTTATTGCTTCTTCCCTTCTACCTAGGAAGCAACGCAGTTCCCTCATCGTCCATTTTCGAGCGGCAAACTCGGGAGAAAGAATGAAAACACCGACCTTCGCAGATTCCATGGCCTTCGTCATTTCGTCCGGTCCGCAGTCACCGGGCTGCATTGATTTCTTGTCGAGGAAGAACTTTTTACCATCAGCTTCCAATTTCTCGAAAAGAGGACGTGCGATGTTTAGCTTGTCCGGACCAGCATGGCTTATGAACACATCGATAGAGTCTTGCTGGTAGCTTTCCTGCATTTTTAAGTAAATAGCCAGACGCCTAGGACAAGACAGAAAGAAAAGAGAAGTTGATGAGGTGCGGAGTGTGTTTGCGTGAAAACGGCGCCGGTCGGTCGAAAAACAGGGATGCGAAGGTTGATGGCCACGTTCAGCGCGTGGCACTCTTGTCTTTGTCAACGGTCAACGTGTCTACGGCGTTGTCAACGAAAGCGGAATGGGTGGGGACGTTTGTGTGGATGAGTAGGATGAGTAGGATGAGACGAAGTACTTGCGCTTGCTGTTTCGTGAATGAACGCTCGTAGAACTCGAGCGTGGAAGGAAGCACCCAGGGTGTATTACAGCCTCGTGAATGAACGCTCGTAGAACTCGAGCGTGGAAGGAAGCACCCAGGGTGTATTACAGCCTCGTGAATGAACGCTCGTAGAACTCCAGAGTGGAAGGAAGCAACCAGGGTGTAAGGGCTGTTTGTTGCTCGCCTCTTGATGGTGGCGGATTTGTCAGAACGCGGGGGGTACTCTGTGCTGTAACAGCTGCCTTCATGGCCACCAATATAAAAATAAATGGCTTAATGCTGCAATCAGTAGGCAACAATACAGTACAACAATAAAAAATGGCTTGCGTTGTACCCTTCTCATTGGCGTAGTGTGTGACACGGCTCAAATTGGGACACCAAAATTATAATGCCGCGCCGCATACTTTCGCCATATGATTTTGCTAATTATTTCGCAACGAATTAAATCTATTCGTTTGATGAAAAATAGTCATGCTCTGACAAACGGTCAGTTTTCTGCTCCTCATGCTTTAGCAGAGGTTTCCGTCGCTCTCAATAATGATTATGTGTTGCGCAACATTCTAAGAAAAGATGTATGCCTGTCAAAGAACCCCACACCTAAGAAATCTAATAGAAAATTCCTCGCAACAAGAAACGCAGCGACGGTTGGCAATTTGCAGTCCACTCGTGCTCGTTTGGAGGGGCGGAATCCTCCAAAGGCGCCCGTACCCGACGTTTATCACATTCAGGAGTATAATGTAGAGAATGATACTGCAAACAAAGAAAATAGTGACTCTCAAAAACGTCTGAAAGCGCAGTCTGCGGTGTCGCCTCTCGAAGACATAGTTGGCGACGACTTGCCAATCTCGCAATGGCCGAGAGCCCGAAAACAGCGGATGCAGGTTGAGGACGGCGAGTTGTTTAGGACCCGCAAGCACACGGCAGCGTCGGCTTTGTTGGGTCTCTCCCATTACAGATGAAGCGTGAAAGACATGAGATTTATCGTCGTCCCACTTTGACCTAGGCATAGTTTGGAGACCAATTCTCCGGTCCAAATTAAAGATGTTTTTCCTCAAATACGCACTGCATTCATATATTTTATCATAACTTCTTATGTGTCCCACATCAAGCCAATGAGAAGGGTACTGTAGTTCACTGCAGACAAATCAACTAATTTACAGTACTTTGGGTCTGGAATAAGGTAAAAATAAACTCCAATCTCATCATCGCTTTCGGCCATCACCAATCACATCGACAACTGCCCTTTGACGCAAGTCGCCAACAATAGAGACTTTACTGTCGTTGTGTTGCCACTTCGTGAGGCCGTTTGTCAACGGAGGACCGAGCCTGCGCGAGGGAGGACACACGGGTGACAATTAGTCACAGAGACAAGTGGGCTCCGTGCGCGCTTCGCGCGCCGAGCCAAGTCCCTTCCTCCTCCGCTCCTCGTTCCGCACACGCCGCCGTTCCCCGTCCCGATGCTGCCCCGCCCTCTGCGCTAACTCTCCCGTCCTCTCTCCGGTCTTCGTAGCCCCTTGCCCCCTCGTCCTGCCACGCGTTCGTCGCCCCTGCGCCCCGCGCGCGGTCCGCACCGCCGCCCTCCGCGCCGGCGCTCACAACCGCCTAACACTCCGCTTGCTTCCGCCTAACACTGCTATCCGGCGGCGGATCCCAGCATCCACCCGCCCGCGCGCTCCCTCCTACACCGCCAGCTGCGACACCTGCTCCGCTCGCAGCAACCACCTTCCGCGTTCCTCGCCCGTGCGTGATGCGCGCGGCCCGCGCCGGGGCCCTCCGCGCCGCCGCTCGCACCACCACCTCCACCGCCCTGTCCCGAGCTCACCCGTCTGCCACGTCCCCGAGCCGCAGGCACACCCCGCCCACAAGCCCGCAGAACGTCTACGCCACGCCCGCGTCCGTCCGCCCTGCCACCGCCGCCCACCACGCGCGTCACCCGCCACATCTCGCCGCGCACCACGCTCTTCGCCGCGTCCTGCCCGCTCATGTTGCGCAGCAGCCCCACGCAGCTCGCCACCACGCGCGCGTCACCCGCCTGCCCCTCCAGCAGCGTCCCCGCCGTCGCGTGGAACCGCTTTGCGTGGAGCTGCATGCACACCTCGTCCGCGATCGCGCGCGCACGCCCGTCCCGCCCGCCGCACTCGCCCACCACGGCGTCAACGCCCGCCTCCGCTGCTACCCGGCACACCACGTCCGCCACCGTCTCTGCGCAACCCGGTTGACACCCGCTCGCCGTGGCGCCTCCCCCGCCCCCCGGCACGCGTGTCCGACAGGTTTTGCAGCCCGCTCGCCGTCACGCCTCGCCGGCCCCCGGC